GTTAGAGACCGCTAGATGAATCCTCCGTATCCATTCACTCAGCTCCCGCTTTGGCCATAAGTTTTTTGCAAAAAACAATTGAAAACATTGTTTGGTTATAAAAAGTGACCAGTTTTTGGGCGGTTTTAGGAGAAGAGTTTTTCAAGTTTCAAAACATGGTTTGAACTAGTTTTTAAAGTTTTCTACTCACAAAACTTCAACTTCTTTTCAAGTAAAATGCATCTCCAAACATAATTTCAACTTCCAAAAACCATTTTTCATCTCATCTTCAAAAGGTTTTTTTTTTTTCTAGTTTCAACCAAGTCTATGCCCAAACGCTAGCTCAATTTGGCTCCATTTCATTCCAATCACCGGTAAACAATTTACCTTTTAAGACAAATTTGGGATATTCAAATCTAGAATTTCTTTAGATCTTACACTTTACCTTAAAATCACATAGGAGCTTCTAACTAGATTAAAAGGACTCTTCGCAAATATGGTGTACTACTCGGACCCCTCGAGCATATCCTAATAATGACTTGGAACATGTTGTGAACTTGATATTGTAATGAGTTGTATAGGTGCTGAAGTAGAGACGGAGTGTTTCATTGGTGAGCCCCACTTATTGTTCTATGCTTAGATATGCTTTTCTTTTTTCTCCTCAACAAGAACTAAGCTACACAGTTATAATGACTCTCTAGAATATGCTTCATGGAATCTATTACGGATTTGGGACTACATTAAGTGTTGGATTCTCAATTGTTATGTTTTAATTTGCTTATGTTAGTATCATTTATATGGATCATTTGCTTCATATGTACTATTCTTAAAGAAACAAGAAAGATACAAGCAGAAGAGTTTTGGAAAGAGTTTATGATACCTCCCAAATCATCGGCAGCGGCATCTTGAATCATTGACGAACGGTCTTCAATTTTTTTGAGGTTGATGTTATGATCTCGTTCTATCCTCTCTCTTTCTTTCTGAATCTCTGACTCGGAGGTAAAAGTCCGTTTACTGTTTCTTCTTTCGTTCACAGCATTTGCTCCCTGCTTTGCCTGTCGTGTTGATAATTCCAGCTGCAGTTTTCTTTCTTTGTTTTGTGAGGTTTCAGCGCTAGTTGAAGATCCAGTGGAATTGCACTGTTCTTCACTTACAGCTATGCTATCCCTTGCAGCAGTTATCTCATCAATATCCAAACTCAGTTGTTGATTTGTTTCGGAAGAAAAATACTGCTGTTGCTGTGTCAGGCAACATCAACTCTCCTCCATTTGGCAATGGCTCAACGTTATGCAGTTCTTTAGTATTCTGACAGATCTCGAAAGAATCAAGGTCATCGTCAGAAGAAATCTTGATGACTTCAACAGGTAACTTCTATCCAAAATCATGTCCGACTGCAACCTCAAAGTGTTGCAACTGTTGTTTCACCGTGTCCAAAACTAACTTCAGGAAGACTTGTAGATTTCTATGCAGAAGCTCATTTGGGGGCAAGAAGAACTCTAGTATGTAAACATTGTCATCATTGCCCGGAGCACTTAAACAGATTGCAAAACAACCAGTTAAACCAGTTTCACGAGCACAAGTTACCAAGGGGTATTCCATTATGCTCAACTGTGTTACATCTCGGCAAAAGCATGAAGATTTTGATGAGAAAGCCCTGCCTACAACACTGTAGCCTTCAAACATGTATTGAAGACCACTAGCATATTTGAATCTTAAGTTTTGGTTATCATTGATTGCAATGTATCGTTGTCTAACAGTGATAGCTTTTCCCGTGAATCAGCAACACTGACCCAAATCTGAGCAAAAGGAAATTGATGTTTTTGACATACCATTTCTATTGACTTGTATAATCGAGCAAGAGTACATATCTGGTCATCCAAAACCTGCCTTGAGACTGTCTTTGTTAATATGAATTCAAAATAGAGATATCGCTGAAGCTTAAACAAAAAGAGCCAAAGGAAATAAATATGGTCCGAAGGGAGACATTACTGGAAAAGAGCTTGATCTACTGGACAACTTACTTTCCAATTAATCGGACAATATGGTTCCGGAGATTTCAGATCCACCACCTAAAAGGAAGTCAAAAGTGGAAACAGAAGCTTCAGTTCAGTAGTAATCAATCTTTGCAAAAGGCAATTCATCTCAAATTTCCAAAACACAAGTGCCTTGGACTTGCAACGTTTGATAATAACTGGCCTACAGTACTGATAATGTCTCAAGAACTCAAAGAAGATTTACATTTTTTCTGTTTCTGTATCCAATTAAGTCCAGCACCCTTGATTCAAGCATTAAATTCTCATTCCTTTTTTTTAAATAACCAAGAAATCTGTTGTTTTCAATTTCTAAACTCGGTGGATAATAGGCCAATCCCTCTCTCTGCCCACTTAAATAATAGACTTGTTCATCAGTTAGGTTTCGAACTCGTGACGTGTGCCTAACATGCATCATGTGTTTACTACCTTTGCTATTGAACCAAAGCCCTGGTGCTTGCCCTGTCATTACTGTTATACTGCTTACTTCTTTTTCTTCCCCCACCCACCTTTTTTATCACATTAAGGTCACAATATTCTATTTCCCGTACGAATTAACTCTTATTAGGTGTTCAAGCTGGAGACTGGAACCTTTGGATAGATCATAACCAAACGTCACAGCTTCCATTAAACAATTCCACATTGATATCAGCATTTCTTTTTTGGGTAATTAATTGAAGATGAATTTTGTTTCTTTCCGCATTAACCTTTGGATTTTGATAGAGAATGGCAGTAGAGCTTTTTGAGTTTGGATATGATTCCATTGGGTGTTATGTAAGATGGCTAACTTTTTTGATTTTACATGGTTTCTTGTGATAGTTACCTGCAGTATACATTGAAGTGAAAATTGAAGCTGAACTTCCAAAAGAAGTCTAACCAATGGATGAATAAAAACATGAGATATCAATATAAATTGTTTCTGCAGTGTCTTGGAGACTAGGAAGTAAAACACATTGTATGCCCTGTTCTTCTCACAAAGATATATAATTTAAGATAAAAGAAAAATAAATGCCAATTATGTTTGAACTTTGTTTATCTGGTCTCCTTTCTCTTAATTCCCTCAAATAGTTCAGCAAAAAAAAAAAAAAGATACAAGATGATGTGTGATTTTTGACTACAATAAGCTTGAGTAACTAGTTTTTAGTTTCCTATTTTCTCGTTACCTCTTCTTTTTTCTTCTGAAATGGTGAAAGGAAAACAGTGTATCAAAAGGGATCATGGATGACAACAAGATGAGCAAGAGGTTCAACATTTAAGGTTGGAAAAAGCTGAAGGTATGCGTAAAAACCTGGAGCATCTTGAAAATGAGCAAGACAGAGTTTTGAAACATCCAGTCGTTTGTTTGGTGACTGGTGACCAACTCAAGGACCCCGACAAAGGTGTCTCGAGATGAATCAAAGACAGGAACAGTATAGCACCATTGTATGCCCCAGGCTGCAGCATCATCCCGTAAAGGGAACTCTTGTTGGCTGTAATTCTTCACGTCTGTACATAGTTCAGGCAACCTATGTTTGAAAACACGTCCGGGGGGACCAAGGTCATTTTCACATTGGGTACCGTTCTTCAGCTCAACAGGAATTGCACAGCTCAGGCACTTCTGCCTGTACGAACATAGTCTGTCATCTAGTCTGCTAAGACCAAAAGGCTGATCTGAAGTTGTTAGGAAAGTCTGGCCATCAATTACAATACTAGCCCAGAACTGAATAAGATAATTGCAGGATAATTTCTCTACACGTTGGAGTGCAATCTTAACTCTTTCCTTGATTGCCATGCGTTTAGTAACAACATCTGCAGCTGTGGCATGCACAAATATTGTATTAGTACTTGTAGCCTAATTGGTAAAGTTACTGTCACGTGACTAGGAGATCACGGGTTCGAGCCGTGAAAACAATCTCTTGCATAAATGCAGGGTAAGGCTGCATACAATAGACCCTTGTGGTCCGGCCCTTCCCCGGACCCCGCGCATAGCGTGAGCTTAATCACCAGACTGCCCTTCTTTACTTGTAGCCTAAAGCTACATTTAGGTAGTACAAAGAATATTACTCCCAGGTTCTGTAAAAGGCTTGTAGCAACAATTTTACTGATTGGCCATAGCAATTAAGTTACCTTTATCTAATTTAAGGAATTTCCTTGAATTCAAATCCGTGATACAGTACTACTAATGATAATCCCAAAGAAGAAACAAAAAGAACCTTGTTTTGATGCAATGGGAGTGAAACTTGCAATGTATTTTAGAAAATTCTTAGTAGATTCCCATCACATCTATAAAGATCAACATTTCTTTTTTATATTTGATAATTGTGGTGCCTGAGCATGCTTAAACGCATCTCGACTAATTACACGAGGTACCTGTTATCTCCCACCAGCTCAGGTACTTGGTAACGTTGTCCGCCAATGGTTGGACAGATATAATGTTTTGCTTCTGATAGAAAAACATAATTTTAACCCACCAAAGCAAAAAAATTTCTCCTCATTCATGGGCAAATAGGAAGTCCAACAGTTCTTAAGGAAATGATTGTCAAAATGGATACAAAAAATGGCCGCTCGGTGCACTAAGCTCCCGCTATGTGCGGGTTCGGGGAAGGGCCGGACCATAAGGGTCTACTGTACGCAACCTTACCCTGTATTTGTGCAAGAGGTTGTTTCCACGGCTTGAATCTATGACGTCGTGGTCACATGGCAAAAATTTTACCAATTACGCTAAGACTCCCCTTATCACAATGGATACAAACTGCTAGAATATCCCAAAAGTATTAAAAAGGACAAAATTTTGAAGTAATGAAGATGAAATTGGCAGTGTATCTCAGAATTTATACTTAGCTGACTTTCATCCCATGTATAAAGATCAAAATAATTTCAACCCCACCAAAAACCAAAAATTCTTCTTCCCTAAAATTTATGAGACAATAAAATATAGTAAGTTCTTACTGAAGGAGAAGTGATTCTGAAGCTGCGCTGCATCGTCACGTTCACTCCAAAAAACCCATAGACCATTGGGTTGGCGGGACCAGGCATGTGCACTGAACACACTCTCCATTCTTGAAATCAAATGACTTTTTTTTTCTTTCGTTTTGAGGTTGGTGTTGTTGTTGGTTGCAGGCCAAACCGGTCTCTCTTTCATGCTTCACACAAATACTTTGTAACCATAAATTTCAAAAATCTTTAATTTTACTTAAAATTTGTGCCAAATCAAACAGGTTCACGCAATAACTATCATACAAGTGTTTAAATTTTTGAGATAAAGAGGATTGAAACGGCTGTTTTAGGCCAAAAAGACCAAAAGGTTGTTTACATTAATCTAAGAAGTGTTGAAAGAGTTGTTTTAGATGTGTAGACATGTAATTTTGGCCCGCACATTAGAATTATCCTTAATAGTCCTAATATTTTTAGAATATTACTTGAGCTTATTTCTATATGATTTCACTTTATTATTAATTTTAATTTTAAGGCACATAAAATTGAAAAAATACAAAATAAGTTTCACTTTCTATTGAATTCAGTATTAGGTATTTTTAGAAAGATATATTACTTTTAACTTATTCTAATCTTAATATAATCCTTGAAAATACCAAAAATAGTTTCAACTTTAATTTTTAGTTTTATCTTTAATACTAATAGTTTATCCAAATTAATTTAGAGTTTTTATAGGTATTTAATTTGAATTTTCAGTTATTTTTTGCCCAATTTCGCACATTTTTGAAGCCCAAATCAAGGCAGCCCAATCCCTTACCCTTCAGCCCCAACTTTTGACCCAGGTCCGACCCAACACCAATGACCGCCCAATGCCCTTTAAATCTCAGCCTTCCATTTCACTAAATCCTAGGGCCAATATTAATCCTCCAAAACCATACAAAAGCTCAATCTTACACTAAACCCTAATCCTAAACCTAAGAGACCACCAGGCGCCCCACCCCTTCTCCTACACGAATCCACCGCGCCAGCCCCTCCAACTCGCCCAAATCGGGCGATGTACTCGCCCGTGTTAGCCCATGGTCCCCTCCTCTCTTCTCTCCTTCTTCTACATCATTCATTCCATACAAATCTCATCATTTCAATCCGATTCACGCGGATTTCTTCTTTTATTTCTTTTTGCTTAAACAAAAATCCGAGTTCTTGAAATAAATGTTAGAAAATGGGAGCCATTGGATTAAATTTTGATCCAAGACTTCCATTTTTTGATTTTTTCTAAAAATGAGGATTTTCGGATCTTGTTTGGGGGGTCCACACGGATTTTTGAAGGGTTCTGGCGATTTCTTGCAAAGGAAGGAGAGAAGCTTCGGGAGAGAGCTATATATTTGGGTCTGGAACAGAGAATAAGGGGGAGAAAAAGGTTAGGAAAAATTAGGGTTCTAATAGGAAGTTTCTTCTTCTCTTCTCATTTTTTTTTGTCCATTTTCGGTTGAGTTACAATTCCAAAAAACAAAAATACAAAAAACAGTTTGAGTTTGATTTTTGTTCAAGTATTATTCCATTTTCGAAAATTAGAAACTAACACAAAAAAAAATATATACATCTCTTTACTGCTTTTTCAATCGTGGAATTTCAATTTTGAGTTTTGGTCTGCGAACATGGAGACTGCTTGAGGTGCTCGAGTTCGAGTTTCAAATTGTTGTCCGTTCGTGAATTTTGGACGAGGTTCCTTGTTCGAAGTCAGCCCTGTTTTCTCACTCGGATTCTAGACTCGAAGTTTGTAGCTGAATTTCTTGCTTTCTGTTATTAAGAAGAGTTTTACAATTCCAGGTTCATCTCTTCCTTCTTATTCTCGTTAATGGTGATCGAAATATGATATGAGTCGTAGGGAATTCGCTCTCTAGTGATAGATATTTGATCGTGCTTTAGTAGAGGTTGTGTTTGCAGTTAGTTTCTAGTTGTGATTTGTGCTCGAGAATGTTGTTTGTCAATCTGTTCTTGTTATGCAATGTGCCATCTAGCTGCACGATGTGTTAGAATATGAGTAGTTGAAAATGAAGCATTTAGATTATAGTTAAGTTTCCAAATTAGATCCATTCGTCTTTGGTTTGTTGACGTACAATCTGTTCACATCTGTTGATTTCTTTTGATGAGTAATTTGTGTTTTGCTTGAAAATTGATCGACGGCCGGCGGAATTTAGAGTTTGAATTTAAGCGCCGCAAATTCTGTTTCGGTCATTCTTTAAGTTCAACTTGGTTTTATTTTGCAGTCGTGAATTTCTTTTGATAAAGTAGTTTAAAGCTCTCAAAAACAGAATACATAGCTTGACATCTCTTTTCCTTAAACACGTTTTAACTGTTTCTTTTCTCATAATGATTAGTCGAAGAAACCCCATGTTCCTTAAAATACATGTTAGTCTCAGGTCGTAAGTTCTGAAAGGATTTTTCCTTTGTTAAATTCTTGCAAATGCATTATTCCTTCATGACTAACAATCTAGTGTAGTAATTTTGTGAGTAAGAATCTGGCTTCTCCGCGGTTAATTTACTAAATTGGTATGTCAATTTTTCTGATTTGCGGCAAGATTTTCCATGGCTTAAGCTTTAATTAAATGGAGTTAAAACTATTCAGTATGTGATGGGGTGCTCTATTCATTTGAACACTGATTTGTTGTTGCTTGTTTATGAAGTCGATAGCTTCAGTTTGTCTTATTTTTCGTACGGTTGCCTCCTTTGGATTGTGTTTGTTCTATTTGCTTGATTGTCTGTTTTACATGCTATGCACGAATGATTGGATTGAAATATTTCTGATGTTAGGCCATGGGGGTTGGGAGAAAGGCTTGGCCCATTAGTGTTAATTTGCTTACTTATTTAGGACTTGGGCTTGGTCTAGCAAAGGAAATTAATTGTAAAATCTGAGCATGATTTAGAATTTTCTTTTCTTTTATTTGCTTATTTTATTACATTGTCCGTTAGGAGCATGCTTTAGGCCGACAACATTTGGGTAGGCAATATTATGATTTTTCTATTTTTTGCTTTTAATTTCTAGGCAAGGGGTCATTCTCTTAGTTAAATTTATCCGGGGAATGCTCCGAGGGGTTTGTATATATTATTATCCGGGGTATACCCCGAAGAACTATGTAAATATTTTGGAGGCCTTGACGAGCGTGGTGGAGAAGTCTTAGCATAGGTTAGCTTAGGATTTTTCTTTTCCTTCCCTTTTTATTTTCTTTTATTAGGCAGGGATGACCTCAAGCCTCGTGTGTGTTTATTTTGCTTTTCAGTGATTTTATCTTAAATTGAATATTCTAAAAGCCAACTAGATCGAGTACGCAACCGCACTAGTTATGGGACTTGGGGAGTGCCTAACACCTTCTCCCTGAGTCAAATGAACCCCCTTACCCGAATCTCTGGTGTGGACTTGATTTTAGAGTCTGAAACATTTTAAAAGGAAAAATCATTTTAAAACGGTGACCTGGCACACCGAAATCAAAGTCAGGTGGCGACTCTGAGTTATTTTCCTGTTGAGTACAATTTTTGTCACGTTCTAATTGGAAAACCCTTTTCAAGCTTTACAAAATCCTTTTTATATTTAATATAGGGTTTAGTGAAGTTTGTTTAAAAAGGGGTGTGACATCTCTGGCGACTCTGCTGGGGAACTGCGGGTTCGAGCTGATACTACGATCTTGTTGGTTTTTAGAATATTTGGTTGAAGTTTTTATGCTTTTTCATTAGCTTTACTTGATTATGTTTTTATATTTTGTTATTATTTGCTAGTTGTTTATGTGTTTACAGTTTTTGCTTTATGTGTTTACTGCTTTATAACTGTCATCATTTGCATGACCCCGAGTCTTCTTTCTGCAACAAGTCTTCTGGAGTACGTTTGAGCGTACACGGCTTTTTTTGTGAGTCACTCATGTCTTTAGGGGGTGACGTGGGAGCATGGAGTGGGCGGACAGCTAGAGCAGCCGCCATCGACCACGTGCCGCCCCGAATTGCCTTGTCTAGTGAACTCCAACTGTAGGTCAGCCTTTAGGTCATACTTATATGCGTCATATCATTTAAACCTACCAAGGTTTGGTCCCAGGCACCGTGTCCCGTTATAGGAGGCCTATCCAAATTATGTCAAAATGGGCTTATGACCCAAAAAAGACATTTAATCATCCTTCTATGCTACATGCTGCATTGTTTTAGGGGTAAACGGGTTATTTGGCGGACCAACGATATTTGAGGGCGAAGTATAAAATGAAGCAAGCAAGGCCCACTCACATTTTTCTTTCATAGTTTTTCGAAAATAAAAAAAAATGAAAAAGAAAATCCAAAAAGATTTTACATTTTTCCATTATTTTCCAAAAATTCAAAAAAAAAGGAGAAAAAGAAAAATCCAAAAAAGATTTTACATTTTCTATCACTTTCGAAAAATTCAAAAAAAAAAGGAGATAAAGAAAAATCCAAAAAAGATTTTACATTTTCCATCATTTTTCAAAAAAAAAAAAAGAGAGAAAAAGAAAATCCAAAGATATTTTACATTTTTCATCATTTTTCCAATAAGACAAAAAATAGTTTTTCCAAACTAGTTGCATTTCATTTTAAAGCTTTCTTCCATGTCCGATCTTCCCGAACTACGCATACCTGATTCTCGTCTTTTGAGACGTGATATGTAGGCAACCCACATAAGGTCCAGTCTTCCTAGTAAGTCTTAGGTTTTTGGCTTTGCGGGATCTTAGTCATATCTTGCATGTCTAGCCACTTTCGGCCATATCGGCCATTCTTGCAAAATGAGGTCATTTTCGCAAAAGTGGTTCAATAACTCATGTCTTAGGATCTTGAGTCCATAACTAGGTGTCATATTATTTAAGGTCCGTTCTTTTCAAGTTTGCATCTTTAGCCACTTCTAGCCATATCGGCTGTTTTTGCAAAACGGGTCATTTCTGCAAATTAATTTTGGGCCATGATTATTGGGAGTTTGAATCCGTATAAGCTTTAGTGAGGTATTTTCATGTCCTTGAGGTCACCTTTGTTGATTTTGCGCTTTTAGCCACTTTCGACCCCTCAGGCCATTTTGCAAAAATAGCCCAAACGTCCCCTAGGAAATGTTGTGGCGTCGCATAATGTCTTGATTCATTAACCATGTTTTCCCCATTCAGGTATGGATCCACTTACCAACGCTAGAGTATCAATGGTGGCCAAAGTCCCTAGAAGGCTAGTAAAATGGTACAACATGTTCACATTACTTGAGCAGCGTGACCTGATGGGTAAATTAGGGACTCTTATTTCTTTGATGGACATCACCCCTCGTCCCGACCTTGTCGAAGAAATGTTGACATTTTGGGACCCACAGGGAATGGTATTCAAGTTTGGGATCTTGAGATGACACCCACATTAGCTCAGATAGCCGGGTTAACTCGCTTGCCATACCTAGACAAGGATTTGATTTACGAAGGGCCCATTCAAGCACCAAGTTTCTTAAGATCATAGGGATGGATTTAGAAAATCACATGGGATGTTTAGATCAATCTTGGGTACCTTTGGACTTTTTATTCGACAAGTTTGCTCGTCCTATTGGGTATGAGTCTTTCATAGATGAATTTACCATATCATATGATTCTTGGAAGAAGAGGCGTCTTATGGTCTTCGTTATTGCATTGTTGGGTCTCCTAGTATTTCCTTTGGAGGGTAGACATATTAGCACACATCTGGGGTCAATAGCCTTTGCACTTTTCCATGATAAACACAGTAGTAAAGTCACCTTGGTTCTGACAATTTAGAGATCTATCGTGCTTTGACCAGGATTCGAGAAGGTGGGAGGTTCTTTGAGGGAAGCAACTTGTTGCTACAGCTATGGATGATGGAACACTTACATCCCCCCGCCATGTTTGAGAAAGATGTGATTGACCGTTGTCTGAGAGATCGAGTGAAGTGTATCGAGTATAGAATGACATTCGATAAGTTTGCCTTACCACTCGGAGTTCAAGATTGGGTTGATTATTTAGGATCCTTGACTGAAGAGAAGATTTTGTGGTCATACATATGGATTGATTTGGACGTGATCTTAGCAGGATCTCGCGTGCAAGACTTCTTGGTACTGATTGGACTTTGGTGTACTAGACCATATACCCCTGCTGGAGTGATGCGTCAGTTAGGGAGGCGACAAGAAATCCCCTACATTCCTGATTCTCGCGACTTCACTAGGGAATTTGACACTATGCCTCATAAGGAGGTCGACATCCAGACCTATTGGCGTCATGCAATGAAGATGGGTAGAGATACTTTAGCAGTTGACCCGCATTCACCTGGGTATACCCATGAGTACTTCATATGGCTACAGTCTACTCACTGGGGGGTTAGCAGGCCATTGCCCCGACGTGTTAAGGAGTATTTGACGAGGAGGCCACCTTGCGGATATTACTTAGACAGTTGATGGATCGATTTACCCATGCAGAGGAGGCCCATGCAACAGAAAGGGTTGGGGTTCGAGCTACACTTCAGTCATTGAGATCACACTTGGCAGGGTTGGTAGAAAACATGGGACAACACATTGAGTACCTTACTAGAGTCAACCTTCCAGATGCAGGCTCACATTCCAGGATTCTCATTACCAGCTTCGAGGTGTCCTTGCAGGGTATAATACAGAGCTTAGATTCGACATGATTGACAGGGCCATCCGGACCTTCATCAGACCCGTCTCAGCCAGGACCGTCGCATTCAGGGGCAGCTTGAGGAGTCATTCTATTTAGATGTTTTGAGATTGTCTTATATTGCCTTTTACTTTCGTGTCTTGTCTAGGAGTACTGAGTCCTTTAGATAGTGTTAGAGTCTGTCATAGTGTAGTC